GAGTCTAAAATGAGATTTGAAGTCATCCATAGAATATGAAGGTACGACCTCTTCAACGTAATTTCGTATCTTCTGTCGCTTAGATTTTTTACGTTCATTGGAAACAGCGATGCCAACCATTAAATTTTCATACCTCCTTTTTTTATTCTCTTGTAATTCTTTAAATAATATGTTGCTTTCTAAAACTGAAATCAGTGAACAAGGGACAGCGTCCATTTTGCTTCAGCGATAAGCGTTTGTAAAATGCCCTGCAGCGACATGCAGCGGTTGCTGCTCATGACATCATTTATGCTACATTTTTGCTGCATAAAAAAACGTAGCTCTACCCTTTTCTGTCCTCACTTGCCGGAATCTGAGCCCAAACTTGCTTCTTCCTGGTTCTCCTGGCTTCCCTTGAGTCTCGTTTCTCCTTTGTTTTCTTTGCCATTTCTTAACATCGGTAATCCCACCCAAGGGAAAAAGGATTAGAGAGGAAAATCATAGAAAAATTAGAACAATAGGACAAAAAAAAATATTAAGCCTAACTTAAAGTAATAATTATATGAATATAATATTATGGCTGATGGCCACAAAAGTTTGACAGTTCTGAACAATGCTGAGCAATGGTAAAAATTTGTTAGAAACGACATAATGTATGACATGTTATTCACTGTTTTTTCACTTTTGCCAGTGATTTGCTCTCAGTGCAAATTAAGCTTAAGAAAAGTTGACTCCCAAAGTAATTACATTTTATCTGTATTACTTAATAAATATCAATAACATTTTTAGTTCAAATTTTGGATAATTTGAATAAGTTTACATTCTTTTGAACTTCAAAGTAACTGGGTTTGACTGTTTTACATTTGGCATGGAGTTTAACATACTATTTGTCTATCTTACAATATTTTCTGTCATATAAATGTTATACTGGTCTTATAAAGTGTAATACTATGGTGTAATTGCGACAAACTAAAATGGGAACAATTAGTACAGACCGAGAGCAAATCTCTCGTTGCTCTGACTACACGAAAGAAAAAACTGTCGGACATCACCTCGTGTATGGGGTGTAGCTCACCCTCTGCTTTGTCGACACAAAAGTTTCCAATAAATTAATACTTAGTTGTTAACGTTGTAATTTAAAATAATTTTAATCTTCAATTGAAGCAAATAATTAATTTTCTTGTAAAGTGTAGAAGAATTGGGAATTGTGATGAGATTTGCTTGATTACGATCCTTGGAAAATGCCTGATTTTCCTGATTCCTGGTTACAATTAATCGACCCGTCAACAATTGTCGTATAAACATTACATTATAGAAAAGGAATCTTGCACTACTAAAACATCTGTTGACAAGAAACGAAAATATAAATTGAAATGATTTAAATTATTATTAAATATATAATAATAATTTGCTAAATTTGGCTAGGAGTAAATATTAATTGTTCAATTTTTTTTTAATTTCAGAATAAAAATGACGAAACGAGCATGTCAACAGAGGTGAAGAATTCTGATGATCAAAGTTGTGTCTGTAAGAATTCACCCGATGAAAATCAAAGTAATTTGGCAAAGAGCATCAAAGATCCAGTTTCAAATTTGTCGTCCGATAACAAAGCTAGTTATGAAGGTATTTGATATCTAAATTAAAATAAGAGAATGCAATTGATTTATTTTCGGTTAATATGGAATTATTACTTTGCTAATTAATACTTAATGCCAACAACTTTAACTGAAACGATGGATACATTCCAGTATGCATCAAACTGCACCAGCATACTAAAATGTCTTCTGATAGTCACTGACAAATTTGTCGGTACTGCGACTGATGCACATTGCACTTATTGGGGCACAGATACAGTGAGCTGTGATGAAGCAACACGGTCACCTCCACTGTTATATTATTAACATCATTTTTGTTACTTGCCTGTATTAATTCAAAATTATTTTTGACAAAATAAGTCTGCAAATGCTAGTATAGAACCATCATATCTACAGTGAATGTATATAGAACCATCATCTGTCATCATATTAGGTTGCCAGACCTTCCAGTAAAAGCTTATTAAACTGTTCACTGTGCATTTAACCCCGCGTCAGTTGTCGCTGAGACTGATGCATTCTGGAATGTACCCAATAAAATTTATAAATAAATTTTTATGTGATAAACAATATCCAAAATAAATAGAGAAACAAAACAAGTCAAAATAGCTAAGGTATAAACAGAGGTATTTTTAGTATTTTGATGCCCTTAGGCAGTAAAACTGATGTGTTGCACCAATAGTTTTACTGTTACATATTAGTTAAATCATTATTGTTGTAGATAATATAATTTTTTAAAATATTTTATTGATATTTAATGTGTAATGTCACCTGTAAAAATTCATGGCTGTAGGCACATGCCTACATTGCCTATGTAAGAAAGCATTTCTGGGTATGAACTTTTCAACAGCAAGGATATAGCTTTGCAGTAAAGCTAGTTTGCCATTTTTGCTTGATGATGGGCTTGATTGCCTGGAAGTGATACTTAATTTAAGTTAGTAAACTCCAAAAAGGCTACTTTGACACGATTCAGATGTTTCCCTTTAGGTATATATCTGGACAGGTGACATCTGTATATTCTCCCATGCTGAGACTTGCCTCCTCTTTCCATTAAAAATGAGCACTCTCAAGTCCAGTGAAATGGGTTTGTGTTTGTATAGAAAAATTTGTTCGTGCTTATAGAAAATTGTGCTTTGCTTACTTTGGTGTAGATGGACAAAAACTACAAAACTTTTCGTAGCTTTGCTAATAAATTTTAAAAGATTAATGCTAAAATAAATGTAGGAAAAGGTATCAGAAACAAAGGAAAATGTGCATTCATGTATAAAGCAATGATAAAACTGTTTAGCTATGTAATCATTTTGTATTCATTAAGTTAAACTCCTCTAATCAGAGAAGTGTAAGGTCTTAACTGTCCTTCAATTGAAACAGTGCTTACTTGCCTGCAGAATGATCTCTGTGTGTATGATTAAAGAGTAATTAAAACATACTGTACATGTTTAATTTTTAGTTTATAGTAGGGAGCACAGTCACTTAGGGTTGTTATAAAGTTAAATATGGGAGTATTTGGTACCACAAAGGTTAAAATTGGAACAATAACATCATATCAGAAGCAGGGGTGGAAGAAGAGTAATGCCTATCCACCCAGTGCTACTGTTACCAATTAGATGAACTTTACATAGTACATGAAGCAGAATATAATGAGCAAATGGGTGAAGTGTTAAAGATGTTGGCACTCAGTATCAGTGAAGCCTACCAGTGGCCAAGTTAGTAAAATCACTTAACACAGGATTTCTGCTTGACTGACAGGCTGGCTGGGTGGAGTTTTTTGGGTTTTCTGTAGGTATCAAACAATTTAATTAGGAATTAGTTTTCCCATAGGAGACACACCCATGATAGAGCATCCTTGTATTGCTGTAATTCATCAATCCAATTCTACTGCAAGATTCTATACATTTACATGTACTTGCATATAAAACTTTTTGAGAATTTCAATTATGCAAATTATTTTTTCTTGTTTAAAAGGATCCAGGGGTCATCTATATTCAAAAAATGTATTGAGGTGGGATTTGTCATACATAACAGGGAGAATTGTCTGCCGATTTTAGCAGCAAAGGGCTCCCCTAGGTACAGGGTACACAGGGTTATGTGAAGGTTTTTATTTCTGCTCATGACACTATGACCTACAAACATACACTAATCGTTTTTAAGATGTAATTTATTATGTATTTAAGAAAGTAATTTATTTGTCTTTATTTCAGGGTTTAAAAGTCATAGAAGAAAGGATATTCATCGTAACTTATACGAAAATCATCAAACGGAGAAAGATCTTAACAATATGAAGATTAAAGTAAAGACACGTAAATGTTCGCCTATGTTAAAGAGGCATCGATCGACCATCTGCAAAATGCGAATGAAAGAAAAATGTTTAATAATGCACCCTAAAAAGAAATACAAATGCAAGATATGTAAGAAAGTTTTCTCCTATTATTTAGTTTGTAAAATTCACGTTTACTTGCACAGAGGAAATCGGCCTTTCAACTGTAATATATGTAAAGAAAAGTTCTTCTTTAAGTGTTACCTTAAACAGCATAAAATGAGACACTTGGAAGATGATGGTAAAGACTGTAAACATTACGTAAAGCAATTTAAATGCATATTAGACGTGCAAAATGACCATAAATATTGCTCTGATATTCCCAAATCAAGTCTATTGAAATACGAGAAATGTGAATATGAAGAAAGGCCATCTTGTGACGTTTCAGACGAGAGCTGCAAAGAGGAATCAAAGTTATTTTGTCAAGAGTCCTGTGTAGTAGAGAAATACTTTAAATGTGAAATCTGCAGAAAGAATTTCAGGAAAAAGTGTTATCTCAATATTCATAAAAGAAGCCATTATATAAGAAGAATATATAAATGTAGACACTGTCCCAGGATTTTTAACATGAAAAAATATCTAATAAGGCACCAAGAGCGGCACTATAAACTAAAAACTTACCAATGTGAAATCTATAAAAAGAATTTTAGAGTTAGACAACAATTGATATATCATGAAAAATTTCATGAGATGCCTTTTGTGTGCAATTTATGCAAGAAAAGTTTCAAAAGGTGGATGGACTTACTCAAGCATCAAAAGCAGCACGCCGAAGCGAGACCCTTTCGGTGTAAAATTTGTGGGGAACGGTTCGAGACCTGTTCGGAATTTGCAACACACGAGAAACAGCACTCCAATAAAAGACCCCTCATCGTGATTTTACGTCAGCAATAAGTGCAATCTTACATAACATTTTTTTATAGTGAGGGTATGAAGTTCTTTTCCAAGTGGTTGGTATAATAAACAATCATTAGGATTACAAATATATAATTTTGTATATATGCATTTTTAAATTTTATACATGGTATATACGAACATCTTCATGATCAAAATTGTTAATACGCACTGTACTTTTTTCAATAAGCTTAAATAACAAATGAGATTTAAACAGCAGTACTTTTGACTTCTAAATTTAACCCTTATTTGCTTGTCCGATTTTAACAGGTTGTTGCATCAGTTAATTTCTCGAGAAACAAAATTTTTTGGATTATATAAAAAAGTCAACTACAGAAATGGTTTTACTTACATTATTGTGTTCTCGAAGGCAGCCTTTGGACCGGTATATAACTGACTATTGTTAAGCGTTGTTATATCTAAATATATAAAATTACTTGTCCTGACTGACTGATTGATTCATCATCGCCCAGAACAAACTGCTGAACCTAGAGTTGAATTTTTGTACACAGGGTGCGTCATAAAACGCATACCAAGAAGGGGTTTTTCGAAATTCTCCAAAGGGAGGAGAGGGAAAGGATTAAAGCTTAACCTGAAGAACGGCTTCTACTGTACTATTTTAGATGCACTATTTTGTTTTTAACTATGTTTAGTCTTCATTGAGTACATAGGTATATTAAATTGATAACATTTCAGACATTGTTATAAATATTTTTTTATATTTCGATTTTTTAACCAAATGTTCGAACGGTTTTAAATTCGAATTTGTTATTGCATATTGGTTCGCCTATAGAACAATTGTAAACGTTCCAGAAAATTGATCAAATTGATAATAGTTTGTTTTATTCTTGGCAATTCTCACCATTCTCAGTGGTAGGTGTTATATAACAATTACTATGGTTATTGAAATACTGAATATAAATGGGATTTGCTTGCAAAATCCGGGTGTGCGAAGCCGCGGGTAACAGTTAGTAAAAACATAAAAATCTAAGGCCTTGATTTATAATTCTATGCTATGCATTTCATGTATAAAGTCTTGATTCTACTTGTAAGTTTCCAGGGGCAGTTGTGTAGGAAATGTTCAATGACAGGGATGTATAACTTTATTGTATTGAAAGTGGTATCTTCTGTATCTATTGAAAGGAACCAATTAGATGCACTGTCACACTTTCTAGCACGGAATAGATTCTATTGTTCTCATGTCAGATACATATTATTTGGTACAATATATGTTATTGGCTATTGGGTCTTAGCAGCGATAGATATTCAACACGTCAAAATTTTTGTTACCAATCGGGCGAGCCTTGTTTTGTGGGATTGTTTTCATAGCTGCTATTGCTGCTGCTGCTGCTGCTTTTGGAAAGTTGTAAGCGTAATTGACTTTAAGATTTATCCATTAGTTATTAAACTTTGAAAAAATTATATATGTAAACTTTTTGCAAGATTTATACTTATGTCCTGGCTAAAAGACTTTAGTTATTAAGTTTGATAGTGACATGTTACAAATTGTATAGTATTATATTATCAAATCTCCCTTTCATCACTATTTATTTGCATTTAGGACTTAATGTGTTATTGGTTTAGTCCAAATACTATTATCAATATTAAAGATAGAGAGATCAAATCTCTTGTTGGAACGTCTGTGAAAATTTGGACACAAGTTTGGAAGAGTTCTGATATATTAGGAGACAGACGAGGTCTTATTTGGCTTACATCCTCTGAAATTAAATATCATCTGGAGGTTAGTGATTTATGATACTTGACATCAAATGACTAATGATATATTTGATTTCTATTATTCATGTACACGCGTGGATATCCGTGGTGGGATTTGGGTTCAAATTTGGATGTTTGCAATTTGTTGCAAGGATACAATACTGGGTATGTTCCATTCAAACACATTGGTATGCATTCAAACACATTGGCGAATCACAATATACTAAAATGCATTCTGATATTTGCCGACAACCTCGTTGATGCAGTATCGAAGCAGACCGTATCTGTCATGCTGCAGATACTAGCACTGACAGAGCAATATATCTGCCTCCATAATTATATTATTAACACCATGTTTTTTACCTGTCTGTCTATTGATCCAAATTTTTGAGAAAATAAATTTGCAAATGCCAATATAGCACCACTTGCTTTTGTTGTATTGTTAGGTTGCCAGACATTCCAGTGAGAGCTTATTAAACCATCCACTGTGCATCATTTGTGGCCAAAATTGATGAATACTGTTTGTAAATTAGCCACAATATACAAAATTGAGGTTGGCTGTAAGCCTGTGTCCTGGAAATTTGTCAGGAAATTCAAATCCACTATTTGATTTTCACACTACATGTTCATTTAGAGCATTTGCAAAATACATTTAAAAATAAAATCCAGATTGGAATGAATGCTCTGTACATAGAAGCAATATATTGTACTGTGACTGGTTAGATATATAAGATTTAATCGAACTAAAATATGCACTAGAAATTATTTTTATCAAAATATAATTTTACAAATTAATAATAATAATTTGTATCCTTTTTAAAAATGGAAAAACAAAATAAAAATTTTTGCTGTTGATGTTTTTGTGTGTAATAAATAAAATTATTTATCATATAATTTATAAAAATAAAATCTGTTGGCCAAATGACCACACCGAAGTAAAATCACAATGCGCAACAGATATTAAAGTGCGAGGATTTACATTATAGATGAGTAAGGTTACTTTGTTGCACACACACTTGAAAATGGTCTTCACACAAATCACATATGAATCACCTGGGAAAAAATACTTGATAAATGAATTTCAGTTTAATGAATGAGAACAACTCCCTGAGCAAAAGTGGAAAGAGTTGGCCAGCAATCACCTGTTTTCACTTTTGTGAAGGACCTCAACGCTTCTACTCTTAATTATTTAAAAAATCTTTTAGGACAGTGCCATTTGTTATAAACCGAGGGTACTAACTGAAGATGTGGATTTGGTAAGCAAATTCCAATAAATTCATTAGAAGAAATGGAAGTATCTCTTTCTGTAAAGAAAAACTGCAATTAAATATGTCAGGATTACATTGCACAGGTATAAAAATTGTTTTCTTGGAACATAATCTATTTTGTACTAACTCCCTTTAGTTTATTTTGCCTGTCAAATGACAGGCAAAATAAACTAAAGGGAGTTAGTACAAAATAGATTATGTTCAAAGGAAACAATTTTTCATCAATTACTTGGCTGACCTGCAGTAAAATAAATTATGATTTGAGTAGAAATGCTACTATGAAGTTTGCATTTGAGTATGCACAGACTTAATTGAAAGAAGATACCAGAAGGCTGGTCATCAAACAACTGTGCAGGGAAGGATTGGTTGGGTTTTCAAAAGGAACTCTAATGCAAGTTTGATGAATTGAGTCAACAACTCTTAAAACTACCAACTTTAATAAGAAAAATATTGGGAATTTTTGAAAATTAGACATAATAGAGAACACTTTCAATTTTAACAAAAAGCATTTACAACTAAAAGGGGGGGGCGTACTTTCTAATCTTCTAGGGAACCCCAAATTCTATTATCAACAAACGGCAGAATATGACTTGGCCTATTCTGTGAATATAGAAGAAACTAATGAACGATATTTATGTATTGTTCCACGCAACTTCGTGGTGTGTAAATTAAGTCTTTCGCTATTTTATAATTAAAAAAATATAGTTTTTTTATAACAAAAACCTCATAATAGATAGCGCCACAAACTATTGATTACGATTAATACAGTAGAGCGTCGTTTATCCGAATCAATTGGGGACTCGGGTTGTTCGGATAACATTTTTCGGATAACCGATTATGCACGAAAAAATATATTTTATCCCGTGTTGAAATTTTTCTCCGTTGCGTGTCACTTCGCGTTGAATTTTCGTCGATGTTAAGCCTAACGTAAACTTTTTAAAATAATAATCGTGGCTATTGTATCGTTAAAAGTTATTTATTTTGTACAAACAAAATAAATATATTGAAAAATATAAAATACAAAAAATATATATACTTTAGAAGTTGATCTAGTATCAAAAACGTTCGATTCAGCACAGTCCTCAGAAAAACACCACACAAAAGTGACAGTGCTGCCAGCTAAAACACACTTCAACAAAAAAATATTGGAGTAGCCCAAGTTATAGCGAAAGATTGCAGCACCACAGCACTAGCGAAAATTTAAATTTGGCGACTAGAATTCTTTCGGATAAACGACGCTCTACTGTAATTAAAAAAAAAATAAAAGAATACTTAAAAATAACGTAAATTTTTTTTTGTATTTATACAAAAATACATAAAATTATTGAGATTTTTTATGGTATCAACATTCTGAATCTTCAGGAATTGCAATCTTCAAGGATTCGACCTTATTTTCCGTTGATCGTTCCTTCTTAGTGAATTATTCGACTGTGAAAGACATAACAATAATTTCGTCAGTTCCTTATTACATCGGTTTTGCTTCCCACAAACTTAATATTTATAAAGAAAGTAAATTTGAAAAGATGCAAATTGTAATAAACATCAACAACGACGTAACGCCTTTAGTTCTTAATGATGTATCAAAATAATTTTTTGCAAATTAAAGCAGATTTTTTGAATATATTACTTTGCTTCAGTAACCAGTGGAGTCGAAGCAAATTTATAAACAACTTTTGTGGCACAGTCATATAATAATTTCTACTACAACGGTTATTTTTTAACGAACAAATTTGATCCAAAGTTTCCGAAATTCGCTCAATCCGAGTTCGTACAATCGAGAGTAACATTATTTTATTTTCATAATGCGAGTACTTAACGCTATCACATTCCTTGTATCATTTTAATGATTATATCTCAGACAGTAAATGTCAATATTTTAGGACAAATACGCTTTTCTAAAGAGTACACACTATTAATATAGAATGCACTTTCTCAGTTAATGGAGTAAATATCCCTTTATATAACAGAATAGACCTACTTTCTCGACTCGTGTAGATAACACGAAGTTTACTTTTCTAAGTATGTAAAATTGCGTGTAATTTATTATATCTTTTTTATGTTTTTTATTTATACATGCTTTTGTACTTGCTTAGTGCTTTCAGTAATACAGTAGATTCTTATATTAAAGTTAAACAAAAATTTTGGACATAGAA